CCTGACAGGCCTGAGGCGCCCCTGCAAGGCCGGTGGTGCCCCTGGCAGGCCTGTGGTGTCCATGGCAGGCCTGTGGTGCCCTTGCTAGGCCTCTGGTGCCCCTGACAGGCTTGTAATGCCCCTGGAAGGAATGTGGTGCCACTGGGCCCTGACAAGTCTGAGGTGCCCCTGACAGGCCAGTGGTGCCCTTGCTAGGCCTGTGGTGCCCCTGGCAGGCCTGTGGTGCCCCTGACAGGCTTGCGGTGCCCTTGGAAGGACTGTGGTGTCCCTGGGCCCTGACAAGCCTGAGGTGCCCCTGACAGGCCCGTGGTGCCCTTGTTAGGCCTGTGGTGCCCCTGGCAGGCCTCTGGTGCCCTTGCTAGGCCGCTGGTGCCCCTGGCAGGCCTCTGGTGCCCCTGCGCCCGGAGAGGACTGGTGCCCCTGAAAAGTCTGAAGTGCCCCTCGGCAAGCCCGTGGTGCCCCTGACAGGCCCAAGGTGCCCCTGCGAGGCCGGTGGTGCCCCTGGCAGACCTCTGGTGCCCCTGGCAGGTCTGTGGCGCCCCTGGCAGACCTGTGTTGACTGGTGCCCCTTGCTAGGTCGCTGGTGCCCCTCACAGACCTGTGGTGCCCCTGGGCCTTGACAAGCCTGAGATGCCTGGCTATGACAGGCTCGTGGTGCCCCTGATAAGACCAGTGGTGCCCTTGCTAGGCCTGTAGTGCCCCTGGCAGGCCTCTGGTGCCCCTGCTACCCCTGCGCCCTGAGAGGACTATGGTGCCCCTGAAAAGCCTGAAGTGCCTCTCGACAGGCCCGTGGTGCCCCTGGGCCCTGACAGGCCCAAGTTACCCCTGCGAGGTCGGTGGTGCTCCTGGCAGGCCTCTGGTGCCCCGGGCAGGTCTGTGGTGCCCCTGGCAGGCCTGTGTTGACTGGTGCCCCTCACAGGCCTGCGGTGCCCCTGGAAGGACTGTGGTGCCCCTGCCCCTAGGGGTGCTCATGGGCCCAACAGGCCCGTTGTGCCCCTGACAGGCCTGTCGTGTATACTTGCTAGACCTGTGGTGCCCCTGCTTCCTGGCAGGCCTGTGGTGCCCCTGGCGGGCCTGTGGTGCCCCTACAAGGCCGTAGGTGCCCCTGACAGGTTTGTGGTGTCCCTGGAAGGACTTTGGTGCCCCTGACAAGCCTGAAGTGTCAAGGACAGACCCTTTAGACGGCAGGGTCAAGTTCGTCGGACTGACAACGATTTGCTTACCTGATAACGTTCCTGGTAAGTACTCACTACTCAGCGTCCACAGCATATATACACATAGCACATTCATATATACTTGCTTACAATTGGTAAATGTGGTTGTGGCTAAGAGTTAAGATACTGACTAAAAAAAAAAAAAACTGAAAATGGGGGCACCACCAAAATGAAGTGGACGAAATCCGTTGAGTTTTTAATTTTGGGTATAGGTAGGGGCACCACATCGATTCATGACCCTCCCCTTGGAGTTTTCCTGGATCCGCCCCTGGGAACGACCGTCACAAGAGCTATCGCCTTATCATTCAGCAACGAGTGGAAAACGAGCAGACGGAGGGATACGTTGCAATCGGTGATGTGCATATGCAAATGTGTGAAAGTCGACTATGTGTAGATGCGTGGTGCGAAAAAGTGGGTAGCAGAGAAGAACAGTGAAGACACTGTTGCAGCAGACACACATTTTCCCGTAAAGTCCCCCATCGGCATTACCGCCAACCTTTACCCCCAGCGCGGCCGGTGCACTGTCGCGCGAATTTGCAGCCAGCCATGTCAGAGATGTGAAGAACCCAGCACACGGGGGAAGAAGAAAGGGACAATAGCCACCCTTTCTCGCTGGATTCCGCAGTGAAAATGGACTAACGCCATTTTCAAGCCCATAGGCGCGGGAGCCGGGGGGGGGCAGTGGGGGCAGCTTGCCCCCCCAACTCTGGGGCCGTGGGGGCGGTGCCCCCACAGCTTTGAGACGGAATACCACTTTTTTTGCAAATGTTTTCTTTTTTTGTTGAAAAAGCCGAGGGGTAAAAATAAGTGGCCTAAAACTGGCGAGAAAACTAGATTTGGGGGTACCCTAGGTTGATCTCTATTATGGTGTGCCCCCCCCCCCCCCCAGTCGGAAAGTAGTTCCCGCGCCCCTGTTCAAGCCCACTGGTGCAATGTGAGATGAACTTGACATGAGGACATCAATGGGTGTCGATGAACGTGAAATGATGTTCTAATACAGATTCTTATCGACCAGAAGCCTTTCTTATTCTGAGCTACGAGCAATAGATACAGGGTGTTCCAAAAAAAGTGAGCCCCCTAACTAAGATCGACTGTATCTCCGCAACCGTGTATCCTACAGCTTTGGAAAGCCGCTCATTAGAAAGAGCAATCGAATTCCATCCAGATAGGTCGTAATTCTGTTACATAGCTTGCACAACACGACCAGCATTGTGAAAAGCACAATTCAATACCAAATTCTTAGTGAAATATTTAGGGGTAACGGATATGGTTAAAATTTCTTCACATCTGACTGCATATTTCAGTTCACGTGCTTTTATTCATTCTTCGCGCGTGAACTTTTATCATAAAAAAATGAAGACTGAATGGATGACCTATGTTCAACCAGTATTTTGACCACTCCAATATCGGTCGTGCGTTGCCATCAGCAATACACGTTTACCGCCGTCGCCGTGTTTCACCCGATCTCGCAACACATTTTGTTCTGGTCGTTCTCGGTGTAATACGTAATCATTCAGAGCCACACTAGGTAGCCTACTAGAACCGAAATTGACCGTTCTTTCCAACAAGGGGTCTTTCATTATCGTAGGACATACGGTTTTGGAGATAAAAGCAATAATAGTTAGGCGGGGCATACCGCCGTCGCCAAGTTTCACTCGATCTCGCAACACATTTTGTTCTGGTCGTTCTCGGTGTAATACGTGATCATTCAGAACCACACTAGGTAGCCTACTAGAATCGAAATTGACCGTTCTTTCCAACAAGGGGTCTCTCATTATCGTAGGACATACGGTTTCGGAGATAAAAGCAATATAAGTTTGGGGGCTCACTTTTTTGGAACACCCTGTAGTACAAAAACAAAATACTCGTATATTACATAAAATTCAGCCTGTCGACAGGAAACAATAAAAGGGTATTCTGTTACAACATATGGGTTCATATTACGGCTTCAGAAATTTGGGCCTCCAATGCTGATTTCCCAAATCAGCGTACAGTCCATATATAGAGAAGTCTGTGATTGAACTATTCCCGATGCATGTGGGTGACCCCTTATGCGCGTGCCACGTGCAAAACGAAGAGGTGCCAGTTTTAGAATTGTTGCAATATCTCGGTAACTACTGGGCCGATTGCGCTGAGTTGGCATGTAGGTAGGCACCCACTAGGCAATGCATATCCATGTGCCAGAATTGGGGTGCTACTGCACGTGCGCACGTGCAGGGGTCGTTTCCAGATCTCGAGAACGGCTCGAACGATTGCGCTCAAATTTGGTACACAGTTAGGGACCGGTTAGTAGGGTGCCGTGCAAAAGTCAGTCGGGACCCATTTTGCACGTGCGCACACGTGCAGGGTGTCGCCTCCATATCTCGAGAACGGCTGGGCCGATTGTGCTCAAATTATGCACATCGGTAGAGACCGGTTAGTAGGGTGCCGTGCACAAGTCAGTTGGAGGTACCCCCTCGCAATTTCGCACTTGCAAGGCCTACCCTCTCGCTCGCTCCGTTAGTCGCTCCAAAAGGCGTTATACTGGTTATACGTATTTGAAGACAAGAAACTGGAATGCTAGAACCTGCATTCTATTCTTTCCTTACAGAAACACATCAGCACTTCTTGAGTGCAGGTAAGGTCGAATAGGTAAAAGCACTTCAGCGGCTTATGAACGTATGTATGTGGGAGTGGCAGCACCCTTTGACGACGCACTAATTCTATCATAGGTGGCGGAACGGGGGAGAGGGCACCGGGACATCGTGCCCCCCTTTGATTCTGGCATTTTAACCCTCGCATGTGTGCGGCGTTTTCCAGCTTCTACAGCTTTGTAATGTGTAGGGGGGGGCGGTTGGACCCCCCCTTGCCGTTTGGCCCCTGATCGAGCTAGAGCTTCGCGGAAAAAACGAGCGTGTTGCCCGTCACGAGAGGAAGCCGATGATACCCAATTTTAAGGTCCTAGGTCATTGGTTGACCTTCCAGGTCAGGTCAATGACCCAAAGTCGGGAAAATCGGGACCTATTAGAAAGTCGTAAAGTGTGGCTGCTAAGGGGGTTTTCGGGGTGCTGATCACGAATATCGTGTTAGTTTTGATCACAGATGATGTCTTTAAGCATTTAGATCAGGTCGGGTCAGGTCAGGTCAAGTCAACCAGTAGGCGTCGTGACGGGTATTCGTAGTACGTGTCAACCGCCTCTGACAGCTTCGTAACATGTTACGAAGGCACCAAAACTACTTCGTAAATGTTCAAATGGTTGCTAAATTCGAATTCAGCTCCAAAAACTAGCCTAGAAACATGTATTACTCGAAAAAGTGAACCGAGGTCACCCGAGGTCACCAAAGGTCAGTGACCTGACCTGACCTTCAGGTGACCTTGAAACCCACCCTAATGCATGGGAGCAACATCACATCACATGTTTAAACGTTTGAAACCACGAAAAGCTTGCAAACGCGCGGCTAATGCGAGCCGACATACTCCGAATCGCGATTCCGGCCAAACATGGTCTCGGAAAAGAGGTCACAGGTCAAAGGTCATTTGGATCAGGGTCATGAAATTTTCAGGGTAGGTGTAAAATTGATCCATGCGAGGGTACTGAAAGTTTCGTCGTGATTGGTCGCTTTTTACGCGAGTTATTCGCGAAAAACCATGGGGGGTCCATCCGACCCCCTACACATGCGAGGGTTAACATTAGCCCTATGGGCTTTGCATGGAAAGAATGGGACCAAAAGTCGGCAATGCCCCCCCCCCCCATAATTGAAGGTGTTCCGCCGCCACTGAATTCTATGACGTTCGTTCTGTTTCAGGTGCCGAATACTGCGGGAGTATCAAATGTCCATCTTATCACGACTGTAAATATGTCAACGGCTTATGGGCCTGCGGTAAGTGACGGCGTAATTGACAGATGCTTGTCTCGCCAAACTATGTATTCTGCTATAATGATAATACCGAACCATGCTCTATACTATATAGATATGCCTGAATTTTACAACTATTGGTCTTCAAAGCCAGACTTAAATTACATTACATATATGACGCAAAGTAGCTAGCATGACTTTTATTTGACAAGATTTAACATTAACGATTCACCAGACTTTAATTTGTGATGCTCACGACTGTTTATTATTGGTGACACTTCGGCCTTCGATCGGACCGGGGCCCTAACGATTACCCCTAATAGTTATATCATATGCTCCTCATTCTTTTAAAATGTAAGGAAAAACTGGGAAATACCTTCTAATGATTGTTGTAACGTTAAAGATAAATAATGTTTTACTGCTTGATTGTTACTTTTAAAGTAAAACCTACCTGAAAATTAACCTTAAAAACGATACCTGCATACAAAGCTATATGGAATATAGTTAAGCTATGTTATGTTTTTCAATAACGTGAATCGTGTTATCTACGTCTTAATATTTCAGTTTCCATCTGTCAGCGTCACGACGCTTTTACTTTGAAGTGTAAGGCGCGCAGCTTCTGCCTTCCTTGTAAGGAGAGTCCTGGCCTATGTTGTCGCGGCTTCGGGTGGCAGGAAACCATGGACGAGTGTGAGTGGGAACTAACTACAGAGGTGCACATTTGTCTGGCAATTTACAGTTGCATCGCTTATGCATCATTACGGAGCGAGCGAAGCGAGCGGAGTCTTACGTAGAATAACGGAAATTTCTGAGTATGAGCGGCCGGCCGGCCGGCCGGCCGTGGTCACGATTCTACGACGCTTATATCTCAGCAACCACTTGACCGATTTACATGCGGTAATTTTTGTAGGGTAGCTTCATTCCTTCTACCAAGTATTGGACTATTCCCGATGCATGTGAGTGACCCCTTATGCACGTGCCACGTGCAAAACGAAGAGGTGTCACTTTTGCAATTGTTGCAATATCTCGGTAACTACTTGGCCGATTGCGCTGAAAGTTGGCATGTAGGTAGGCACCCACTAGGCAATACATATCCATGTGCCAGAGTTGGGGTGCTGCTGCACGTGCGCACGTGCAGGGGTCGATTCCAGATCTCGAGAACGGCTGGACCGATGGCGCTCAAATTTGGTACATGGTTAGGGACCGGTTAGTAGGGTGCCGTGCAAAAGTCAGTTGGGACCCATTTTGCACGTGCGCACGTGCAGGGTGCCGCTTCCAGATCTCGAGAACGGCTGGGCCGATTGTGCTCAAATTTGGCACATCGCTAAAGACCGGCTAGTAGGGTGCCGTGCACAAGTCAGCTGGAGGTACCCCCTCGAAATTTCGCACGTGCAAGGCTCACCCTCTCGCTCGCTCCGTTAGTCGCCACAAAAGGCGTTATACTGGTTATTGAAGTAACAAAACATTATGCATTGTTGTTGATATACATATACCAAGAATACATGTAGCATACTCGTATTTATTCACTACCTAAAGGCCTAAAATTATTAACTACCGTTCTACGACAATGATTCAAATATTCGTGTTAAGCGTCTAACTACATCGCAAGATCCGCTGAGCTATTTTGCATTATAAAGCCATTTTCATTGTTTATGTTTCGTTGCAGATACCTGTTCGAATTGGTGCCCGCCGGGTCGGTCTTGCAGGTCCAGCGACTGTCCGAAATATTACCGGGGATTCTGCTGCCGTGCCTAAGATCATGCCCTGACCAACCCCGTCTCGCTGGACCGGTGGATGACCTGCCTCGTGACAAAAAATGAAAAAGAAGTAGGAGACGGTCTGGTTAACTAACCAAATCATCGTAATGCCTTTAAAACTTAGCGTGTTCTTACTATTTCGGCTGTTATGTCTTGTTACGTTAGAATTAAATCATTAATTTTGCTATCGGCATATGTCTAAAAGGGAGAAATGAAAGTGCGGTCCCAATAAACTGGATCAACGTGTTGCCTTCGAACACAAATGCTCACACATGAAAATGATAATATCGTATTATCTTCGTACATTACTGTCGTACTCGTCCTCATTTCTCGAATGTCTCTGTTCGTTGTCAGCAGAACCAAAACGGAGCAGAGCTTCAACTTCACCTTCAGAGCCGCCATAAGAACTGTCCTGCATGAAAGCAAAGTCAGTGCCCTGAATATGACCAGAAGAAAGAGAGACACAAACTAGGAAATGACGGCCCCTCTGTCTTCTTAAGTGTGCTGAATGGTGATCCTCAGCTTATCCTCGGCCAGGTGTTTCACAGAGGACTCCACTCATCGCGCCCGGCCTGTGGACAGGCCGTAGAGTCTGACTGAGAGTCTAACTGAACGGGGGCACTATGTTTATCGGGGCTAAAACATAGTGCCTCATCGGCCAGGCCAGAAACCTACTCGTCATATTGCCGAACTAGAAAACGACATAAATAGAACAGACAGAAAACGTCTGGCAGCTGTGTGACGCCATAGTTACATGCATACAAAAACACTAAGCAGTAAACATGAAACAACTACGCGCAATTTGGCCACAGCTCTCACGCCGGCCCGCTGTATTGTGCGACGTCACTTGTCGAGACAACGCGAGTCAGGTCCAGTGCCTACCCCAGGTGATTCACTCGGTGAGGCCTACGAGTATTTAAATGTCTTTACAGATAAAGAGACGACATAACGTAACATTCTTTCATTTATTTCCAGCTACAGCGGGTGACCCTTAGAACCATAGGCATAGCAAGCGAGCTAAGCATGCATGTAGAGCATCTTATAGCAACATAAAGACAAAACAGCCCATTGATCTCCGTATCTAATCATGACTTAATTAATCAGTTTAATATGAAAACGTTGAGCAAAACTGCGATAAGCCTTCACAAACGCTCTTCCAGCTTTGCTTCATGCTTGATTAATGATCATTAGGAGTGTTATAACTGCGTTAACATGAGCTGCTCGTCTAAATGAATTACAATGAGCAGAGCTTCAACTTACTTCAACTTACTGCAACATACTTCAGTATACTTGTAGGTATACTGATAACGGATGAGGTGATTCAAGCACAAGACTACCGTCACAAAATTATCATTGTGATTCAAGCCACCTTGAATCTCCTCATTCATCCATCCAGAAGCAGCACTGCAGCCTACTGCCGTAACATGATTAGGACTTCTGGCTATCGGCTTCGGACCCTCCCGGCTGCATAAACTGCTCGCCTTCGGATTCTCCTTTGGTTTCTTCCTTGCTTGGCTGTGGTGTGCGAGAATTCTGGGAGGTGTCATTCTCTCGTTTGATACATCCAAATTGTTCACCCAACCCCCTTTTGTAGGAAATGTAGACTACGAGCACGATCCCTATTAGCACTGGAATCGAGACCAGCCAAGCAAGACTCGCATGCCCGTTCGAAGGTTCTGGTCGCTGACCGTTGTCACCTGGAGGAGTGATGGTGGAGTCCTTCTCGAAAGTCCCGTCAGTTGTTCCCTCGGAAGGGGCGGTCGAGGAGGTCGTTTCTGGAGACGGTATGGACGTGTGATGAGGCGCCCTTGCAGTGTCGCCTGGCTCATCCCGCGACTGATTGGACTCGTAGCGTATAGCTGGCGTGGCAGTCGTCAAAGCTTTGCTTCCGGCACAATTCCAGCTACGCCTCAGCTTACCGAACACCGTTTTGTCGTTGTCTGATAGCGTGAATCCCTGTGGCTTTCCAACCAACCGGTAGAGCCATTCATCCCGTGGACAGTTCTCCCCAGGGACGGGGACCTTCAGATACCCGTACAAGGCGATCGTCGTCTGCTCCGAAAATGCTAGAGCTCCTTCATCAAAGTCCTGTACTGCCATGTTGGTAATACTCAACGTCTGCTGAATGTCGGTTTCCTGAGAGCCTCCCCATGCATTGGACAGGAGTAAGCCACTCAAACCCCTTATACGCAGTTTTGAAATGTTTATGTCGTCGAGATTTATTAATTCACGGGCAGACACCTTCAGGGATTGAGGGTCGAGTTCACCGAGCTTGCTCTTTTTGATCCTTAGTGTTGTCACCGAAAGTGAAAGCCCCTCCTGCTCGATATGGCTGAAGTTTGTGTTCCTTATGCACAGACTGTCTAGCTTCCCGTAGATTCCTTTAGAACGAACTGTCCCCAATTCACTCGAAATAATGGAAAGTTCATCTAGACGTGTCGCTCTAATGCATCCTTTACGGACCTCGTTCATTTTGACCTTGATCAGATTGATATGTGAGATGTTTCCACTCAAACTTCCGTACAAGCATGTTTTCATTTTCACTTCGGACAGGACGAGGCCTCGGATTGGTGCGTTCAGTGAATGGGGTGGCAGCTGTAGCTCATCAACACGTTCTATATAAATCTTGGGTCCAATGACATTGGATGTGAAATTAAAGCTGTTTTGGTGCATAACAAGACGTTTGATATGATCTAGTTCGATTTCCGTGTCATATCTCAAAAAGCCTCCGAATGCAGAGGTTGCCAGGGTAACGATATCTGCGTTTTCGATTTGGATCTCACGTATGTTGGTGTTTTTTGGAAACGTTAATCCATTTTCATCGACGTTCAACGTTCCCGCATAATTGAGGTCGATGACCAATCTGCGTAGAGACCTCAGGTTGAACAGGGCTTGACTGCGAATGGTCACTAGGTACCGAGCTGAGATGAAGAGCTCCTGAACAGAAGGTGGAACATATCCGCCGGTGAGTGTGATCTGAAACAACATAAAACATCACTGTCATCCCACTGGCGGATCCAGGAGGGGTATTAGGGGCATTTGCTCCCCCACACCGACAGGATCCTGGGGGGGGGGGCGCACAATACAAGTATCCCCCCCAATTCATGATTCAGACTTCACTTATTACGCTTATAACGAGGAGCTAAAGAAAAAAGCGGGCGTTCAAGTTCCCAGTAACTACTTTTGTAATCAGAGTCGTTTTAGTAGCCTGGATTTAGTGGTCATCGCCGTTATTTTTTTCTAAAAATATGTTGCCTCTTACCACAGGAGAGTAACGCCGCTTCAACCCTATTGGTCGTATTGTCTAACGAATGCGGTCATATTGCGCAGACCAGAAATCGGCCCCCGCCTATGCTTGGGAATAGGAAAGGTGAAACTATGATTTACCTGTATAGCCTTAAAAGTGCAGCGTAGCCGGGGGGGGGGGGCACAAGGGGCACGTGCCCCCTCATTAGATGCATGGTGCTCCACGGGCCCAAGAGGCCCTGCGGTGCCAATTGGCCGCTTAGGGTCCGCGCGTGCCTTATTTCGACTGAGATAAGACCCACAGGACTCGTGAGAACACATCACGGAGTCGCGGGCTCCTGAATATCCACACTTATCTCCATAAGGGCCACACTCCGGCTTCTGAAGGCCCTTTGCCGGCCTCTGAGTGCCCTTGCCGGCCTATGAGGCGTCAGCTGTAAGGGTCGTGTCTCTGAGGGCCAATAACAGCGCCTGTGAGGGCCTGACACCAGCGCCTCTGAGAGCCCAACACCAATGCTTCTTTACCCTCGCCGGACCTTTTGGTTTTCTACATACATTTTACATTCTAGGCCGAGGGGGGTACGACCCCACCCCCGACGTTTCGCCTCTGATGGAGCTAGAGCGTCGCGGAAAAAAGAGCGTGTGCGCCGTTACGAGACGAAGCGACTGGTACCCGATTTTAGGGTCTCATGTCAACTGGATCCAAGCCACGGGTTCAGTTTTTCATAAATAACTTCGCAAAAACGGTCGCAGAGCCGCGGTTTTGGCATCATCGTGTTCGCCTCGCTCAGGCGCGTCGAATGGTATACTTGTTGTTTGGGTGAGGTCAAGTTCAGATGTTGACCTCGGGTCAAGGTCAGGTCAGCGTCCCCAGGTCACGAAGCTGATAAATGAGGTCATGTTACATATCATTCGATTTGGCAGGTCTTCCTGAGTCCATTGGTGGCTTTCGCGACTCGCTAGCTTAATTTGATCGGGAGCTATTGACGAAAAACTCTTATGGTCCAAGTAACGTCATGAATGACGTCACGCAAAGTCAACAATGCAAAAGTTAAACATAGGACCTTGCAAAGATTGCAAGAAATCACTATCTCCCCTGATCAAGCTAGAGCTTCACGGAAAGAGCGAGCGTGTTGCCCGTGACGAGAGGAAGCCGATGATACCCAATTTTAAGGTCCTAGGTCATCGGTTGACCTTACAGGTCAGGTCAATGACCCAAAAGTCGGGAAATCGGGACCTGTTAGAACGTCGTAAACTGTGGCGGCTCTGGGTTTTTCGGGGTGCTGATCACGATTATCATGTTGGTTTTGATCACAGATGATGTCTATATGCATTTCGGCCAGGTCTGGTCAGGTCAGGTCAGGTCAACCTGTAAGGGTCCTGCCTCCTGCCCGGTATTCGTAGTACGTGTCAACCGCCTCTGACAGCTTCGTAGCATGTTACGAATGCACCAAAACTACTCCGTAAATGTTCAAATGGTTGCTAAATTCGAATTCATCTCCAAAAACTAGCCTAGAAACATGCAAAACTCGAAAAAGTAGACCGAGGTCATCAAAGGTCAATGACCTGACCTGGCCTTCAGGTGACCTTGCCATCCACCCGGATGCATGGGAGCAACATCAAGTCACATGTTTGAACGCTTGAAACTGCACGAAGACTGCAAACGCGCGGCTAATGCGAGCCGACATACGCCGAATCGCGATTCCGGCCAAACATGGTTTCGGAAAGTAGGTCACAGGTCAAAGGTCATTTGGGTCAGGGTCATGAAATTTTCAGGGTTAAAATTGATCAACGCGAGGGTACTGAAAGTTCCGTCGCGATCTGCCGCTTATTACGCGAGTTATTTGCGAATAACCTTAGGGGGAGGTGCATCAGCCCTGTGCCGGCGAGGGTTAACCCGTGCCCCGTAGGGCTATCGGCGGACCCTACCACCCGTGGGGGGGGGGGGGCGAAACGCCCCCCCCTCTGAGATCTCGGAAATTTACCGGCCGATTTTCAAAATTCAAACGGCGTTCAATAGCACCACTAGGGAACCACCTTGTGACCAAATTTCATTGACCTAGGTCAAGCCGATGACGTCACAGGTCAGGTCAAAGGTCGGATTTTCACCGTTCACAGGCATTTCAAGAAATATGTTGTGAAATCGAGTAAATTGGTAATTTATTGAAAACCATCGATGGTTCATCGTTCGTCAAGCACATACTTTGCTATCTGAGGTCACTGATACCAGGTCAGGTCACAGCGAGGTCAGGTCACCGGGGTTCACAATATGAAAGTGTCGTGTGATACATGTTTTATGGTCCATTTTACATGACAAATGCGATTTTGTTGGTTAAGCAGCCTTTGGGGCCAGCCTAGGTCACGTTTTGGTGAAGGTCAGGTCAAGGTCAGGTCAAATTAGGTCAAATTTCGAAGTTGATATTTTGCATAAAATGGGTTTCGATGCGATGCAGCTCGTCACGGGGAGTCTAATGGTGGTCTTTGTTTTGTCCTACGAGGTCTAGAATTGCCAAAAATTGAGTTTGAAAATTTGACGTCATCATTTTTGAACAGTTTTTTTCGCTATAACTTAGCCAAAAAACGAGGTATCGATCTGAAATTTAGTATGTAGATAAAAGACGGTAGGTACTATCACATATATTCCGGTTTTCTCGAAACTTAAAAAAATGGATTTCTTGGCTAATATATCCAAAAAGTGCTTTTTTATTTTTAGGGGTCAAAAGTCAAAAATCTTAATTATCCGAGATAGCAGTTTTGTAGCTCCGTCAATTCTACACCTTTTTATGTCCCGATCATTTTTATGTATCTTCAAAGCTGTAGGCCTGACAGGTCTTCTCGCGAAGGTCTTTTTTTGGTCGAAAATGACAGAGTCGTCATTTGCGGCCAACCTATCACAGCCTCTGGAACAATTTCGGTCACAATGTGTAAAATTGATATCCGGAGGGGTCCTGAAAGTTTGGTGTCGATATCTCTAGTCGTTTAGGAGATATCGACGGAAAAGGACAGGGGGGCGTTTCGGCCCCCCCCCCTACGGGGCGCGGGTTAAATTGAGTTCAAAAATTTACGCAAGAATGAGTTGGATGTAGCATAAAATCACAAAAATGGCGAACATGACGTCACTAAAACGTCATTTTCTCAAAAAAATCCGACGGATTTCGCTCATATTTTCAGGGAACGTGTCAAATTGATGTATGATAAGGTACTGCAAGTTTGACGTTGCTGGCGTAACGCGTTTAGAAGTTATTGGCGAAAAACGGGAGGGGGCAGATTCTGCCCCCCCCCCCCCCAGCGGGGCGCGGGTTAACCCGCGCCCTACTGGGGGGGGGGGGGGGTACACCTTATCATACATCAATTCTACACATGTTAAAATTTCAGACCAAGGTCATTCAAGGTCAGGTTACCAGGTCACTTGAAGTGACCTCACCTCATAAAAAGTTTCAATGTCTGTCATAGCTACACCGAGTGACCGATCACTTTGAAACTTTCAGCGATTGCTAAGATCAATAGCATGTACAAAATGTATATCTCAGAATTTTGATATCGATGACCTAAGGTCAGGTCAATTTTGCGACCTCCCTATTTTAAGTCAATGGGAGAAAATTGAAATGCGCCTCTTTTGGACGAAAGACATTATAAACACTCCCAAACACTGAATTACAAGTGGTTAAGACACACTGAACATGAAAATGGTGTCCATGACCCCTGTTTATGCCCTGAGGTCATCTTAGGTCACGAATGGTATCTAACAGTTTTTCGCAAATAACTTTTAATAGAGGCATGCTAGAGCGATGAAAACGCCTTAGATGTGTTCAGCTCGACAATACGGATCGGCTGATATGCAACATGACCCTTTCCGGTCAGGTTATGACCTTGACCTGAGGTCAAATTTTCAATTTGACCTTTCAAGGTCAAGTTATAGTTCACTCGATGCATCTTGGTGAGAGGAACACGATGCCGGTAAAAGTAAGCTCGTATAGGTACAAGGCTTGGGTCAAAAGTTTTTGCAGAAAAACTGTTTCCGAAAAAAATCGGCTATTTTTTGCAGTTTTTTGCCCCCTGCAGGCAAAACCGTTGACGTTAGGTCAAATCTGAGAGAATTACTCAGAAAGATCGTTAATAGGGCTATCGAATGCGTTTTTCTGCGGCGCTGTAGCTCTATTGGTTCCCGAGTTATGCGTTGGCTTCTTGGAAATTGTCGACATTCGACCTGGAAATCGGCGAAATTTTGCCTTCAATGACCTCTGGTGACCTGACCTTTAACCTGACCAAAAAATTGACCGAAGTGATTTCCTCATTATTTTTGACGCTCTTTCGAACGCCGCCTTTCGCGTATCGCTACGTGGCCCAGGAGCCGAGTTAGAAGGGGGGTTGTTCAAACAACCCCCCAGCAGGGCGTGGAAATCCAGGACCCCCAGCCGGGCGCGGGTTAAAATGCATAATATTTTCAAAATAAAGTGGCCCTATGCGAAAATAAGAAATGGGTAGTTTTGTTTTTTGGGACCAGTTGCCCTCCCTCCACGGCTGGATTAAATGGAATGAAGGCCAAAATTTGGTGAGCCGACGAAATTTACTAGTAGCGTAAAAAAATCATATTTGTTAGCTCTGATATGGTGGCGTTCCTCTCATTTCCATTAAAGTGACCATCCCACCTAACATTAGTTTGGAGTTGAAATAGCCACATTGGGGTCCCTAGCCTGCAATTGCCGATTTGGGCACTCACAACAAGAAAT